CGATCGCTCTCGTTGCCGTTCGCACACATCGGTGGATGTTACAGACCCAGAACTGCTGTTGTGAAGAGGCAGAGGGACAGACAACAATCTTGAACCAGTTTTCACACTCTTAATAAAGAAAATCAACAAACCCCCAAAAAAGAACAAAAAGTATCACAACAGAGCAAGAACGAAACAGGCCAAAACCCCTAAAATGAATCAATTATAAGATACAGTAAATAAGATACAACTCCAAAACACACAGGCAGAGGTCTCAGACATCAGCATCACTCCATTGCAAAATGGAAGGCAGACCTGAACACTTAGAGCGAATGCTGTGGGCTTCTGGGTCTCTGTGCGCTCGTTCCGAGGCAAATTTAGACTGATCGTATGTATTAGGAGTTTCATAATCATATTAGAATGACAGAACAGAGATGATATCAAGCAGATCACACTGTATGATATAGTCCAGATATTGATTTCTGAGTGGTCCTTCGCCGGCATCGCATTATGGTTTGTGGGAGGTTGCCAGAATGCTGCTATATGGTTGCTGAGATGTTCGGAGTGGTTTTAATGCATTGCTATGCGGTTGCTAGGGTGCTCTGGTGGTTGCTAGGTGGTTACTTACTGGCCCAAAGTAAAAAGAGCCCACCTCCAAGTCTCAAGATTAGTGGTCGACCCATATAGATTTTTTTGATGGCCGATATCTAAGAGAGCATGGTGGCCGATATAAAGCCGATATATCACCACACTATTTCATTTAAAGATAGTAAAACACATGCATAACAATTGCTCAAATTAAATTTATATTTATTTTACATAATATATCATATTTACTGAATTTTAATTAATAAATATGAAAAAATTAACTTAATTAAAAATAAATCTGTAAAATAAATACTTTTAATTAGATGGTCATTTTTTATGCAGTCAACAAATGCACATTTCAGAGGATCTCACAGCTGAATTCAATCAAATTTGCAAGGTTAGTCAAATTTACTACATACACAAAGAGTATTTTAACTTAAATTAAATGTGTATTTGCTGACACTTGATGAGGAAGTATTACAGTGTTTGCTTTTCTGTTACCAATAATAGAAAAGCAAACGCTATAATACTGTTTAATATGGTACTGTGTAATAATTTATTATTCAGAACTGATAAACTAATGAAGATGGAGAACGGGAGCTGTGTGCGTTTAAGCGCTGACGTTCTCAGCGCTGTCAGAATAAATGTCCCGCGCGCCATCAAAATAAAAGTCTTCTGAAATATCGGGTAAACAGGAATAAAAAAAAGCCAAATATCGGCCGATATATCGGTCGACCACTACTCTAGAAACAACTTGGGTGGCTCCTTTAATGTAAGTCACTGGGATTTTTTTTTTGCCCGTTTTAGCATTTGTCTGGCAAAAAAGTGTGATCACTTAGAAAAGAACAAAAACTTCACAGATGTGCTCTTAACAGCTCAAATTCATACTATTTAATCAGAACAATACGCAAGCTTACAGCAACCTCTGTCTTCGAGCGCAAAATATTTATATCAGAGATCGAGGAAAATTTTTTGGCCTAGAAAGGCGTTATGTAACAATGGTACGCGGGTCTAGCATACATATGTACACACACACACACATACACACACACATCAGCGAGGGAGAATAGAGACCCACAGCATGCTCTGAACATCGTTGAGTTCACCGTTCATTTTTCTAATAAGAGCATTCACAGCACCATACATCATAACTTACATCTCATTTCATATTAAGACCACATGGTACTGAGTCCCCACAAAAATGCACATCTATAAGAGCTACACAACAAAAAAATAAAAAATAAAAATCAAGATCAAAATAAATCAACCCTCTCACCAATCCCACAAAATAGTACATAAGATATTTTAGGTAAAATTTCTAAAACCTATTTGATTATGAACACATAATAAGGCACATAATAAGAAATTAGGTAAATACACAGTAAATATGATTTTTTTTTTCACCATGATTTCTTGAATGATTATAGCGGTACAAAAACCCGATGAGGTTTTAAATTTGATTTTTTTTTTCTCTTCCATAAAAAAGAACAAATTACCAAAAATAAGTAACTTTTTTTTTCTCAAAAAATCTTGACAATCCTTAAGATATATAGACCTGAATAGTTTTGCTTTAAGACTGTAAACTTCAACAAAATTCAGTTTCTTTTGAGAAGTGAAAGCGAAGTTTCGAATCGCTTCAGGTGAAATCAGTCAAAGACAAAAAAAAGTCACTGTCCCTTGCCTTGCATGAACATGAAGATTCTTGATTTATTTCATAACTGTGACTCAAACGGATATTAATAGAGGATATAGCGCACAGGCACAGAAGCTGCTCCCTTTAGATGCTAATCAACAGGTCTACGGTGACCTTCCTTGGAATGTTAAGGCCAGATTTTCACTAAATGAGACAGCGCCTTGCTCGCACACACAAGGGAGTCATCATATATCATCATATATGAGAGAGTCCTGATAAAACCGGTAATAATACACTAGTACTAACTAAACGCATACATATAGAATCAGCTTCTGCATGTGCACACCATTGCCATGTTCCAAAATCTAGTGAGCTGTCTACTTAGACAGCATTTTAAGGCATCACAGGCATGCTCCCGGCACAAAGGCTGTTCCAGCCTTCTAAGATATCTAATTTTGGCCAAAATCTAAGGCAGCATTGCATGCATCCTTTGTGGATAAGGCAATCCCAGAATGCACTGGGAAGCTCATTCAAGATGGTGGGCGAATCAAGGCAAATGTCGATTATGAATAAACATATAATTTCCTGAATACAGAAAAATATACATTTGTTTGATTAAAAATGGTTTATTTTGACTGCAGTGGTGATGTTTCGTATGAGGCCAAATACCCTAAAATTGAATCAACAGAGTTAGATTCAGGAGTTAGCATGTAGCTAAGCTAATGTTGCAATACCTGTGTATAAACATAAAGCACACGTAAATATTGAGCATTTTCTATGTATTTTTACATTTACATAGTGTGTGATATTTGTCGCAGTGCACTGCAACATCTCTAGACTGTCTGTAGTTAATAAAGCCAAAGTTCCAAATTTGTCCATTCGTCTTGTTGTCGGAAGTAGCGCAAAAGCACAGATTACATCAGAAATTGTAACGTAAACAGAAATGGGCTCTTTTTATTTTGTACTGCATTATCAGCTTCGCAACATGCAAACATCTAACTGAACTAAAATCAATAGAGTCCTCCAATGCCAGGCTTCAAATGCTGCTCGAAACTCGTAATGTATCAATTTTTTAATGGAATCTATGGAGGAAATGCTAGTTTTGGTGTGAGCTATATTTGGATCTTGCTGCCAAAAAATCCACAGGATTTTGATGATCTCCGTCAATGATTATTGACTGTTGCAAGTACGTCCATGATGTCAAGGTCTTTGTGTGACTGGCTTACAAGATTCATCTAAGTTGACCGTTTTTTTCCCCAATGATACAGACTCAGAGTTTACCATCTCCACCTCTCGAAGAAAACCTCTGGTCTGGACTCTATTGGAGGCGAGTTTCCTGTGCAGATCAGTCAGTTCAGATTAGTCACTTATGGGCTTTCACGGCAATTAGGATGCTGCCTTAGAAGGCAGCTGCCTATGCAGCAGCTCGCTAGGTTTTGGAAACTAGGTGGCGTCTCCATATCATTCAGAGTCGCTCTTTCCTTAAATATTTGGTTTGGTCAGATGCAGAGGCATTTAGTGTGGGACTGCAAGGCAAAAGAGAGTGCCGCCCTCTTTTTTTGCTGTGACTCAATGGGCTTCACTACAGTTTCTACAGAGCCCATGGCTGCAAACTCTCACACCTGTGGCCAGAGCCGAGGAGTGAAAGAACAAAGTAAAGAGCACAGAACATTCTACCCCTGTGTGGAAAGATGGAAAACAAGAAGAACGAAAGGAAAAGACTCAACTAAGAGCAAGAAGGGGAACAGAATGGAGGAAATCATCAATTTCCCATCGAGATCACGGGCTATACCATTCACATTGAGAATTTCACTTAGGAGGCGGAGCCTACTATCAGGCTGGGCGTTGCTGATTGGTACGTTCCAGTAAGGTTGACAGCTGGCCGCGAGTTTTCTGGAATGATCGTGCATGTTTGAAAATGTTTGCCCCGGTTCAGAGGAACCCGATCGACTGGACAATGACATTGCAGATGTTCTCTGACAGCATTGCAGGTGCAGAGAGCCCACGAAAGGCTCTATAATATGTATTATAAAATTTTCATAATACAAGAAATAAACAAATCACGCCATTCACTATCTATTCACAGATGCCAACCATCTGGCTATACATCTTTGCACAGTAAACAGATATGAGGATGCCAAACATTCCCCACGGTGCCTGTCTTCAATTCAAATCAATCAAAGTGCCGAGAAACAAAAGGATTGTAAGCCGAAACAGCTGCGAATTTTGAATGCACTCATTCTTGAATCCATAGCACTCTTGTTTTAATGCTACTCTGAAGAAAAAGGACAAGCCCATTGGTCGAGGCCGTCGCTACAGATTTTTTTTTTTCCAGCAGCACCTTGATGATGACGTCAGCGACATTCAAACAGTGACCGTGCGTTCAACACATCCCACGGGAAATGGGACGCTCTGTTGAAACAGCCAATGAGAATGAAGGTGTCGTTTTTTGGGGGAGGCACAGAGGAGACTCCGCCCTCACTTAGGTCTGGGGTAACAAGGCCATTGGGCTACAGGAGCATCAGTCTCCAATGTAATCGGCAAGTGTGCGGTGAAGAAACTTCCTCAGCATTGACTTTTTTGAGAATGTTCACGTGTTAGTTTGCGTTTCACATCAACAAAGTCCTCGCCAATCGACTAAAGAGGGAGTCCTACTTCCTCCACACGGAGGTTCCCAGAAACGTCACATTGTCATGGATATCCCATGTGTCTCCAGCCCTGGTTTCGTGAGAGTAATACAAACTCACTCTCAGACTGTCTAAAGGTTCTGCAGTAGTCTCTTATTTGCTTTTTTCCTTTCTTTTTTTGTTTGGAAATCTCTAAAACTACCCCATGAATATCTGTAATGTTTCTTTTAGAGTTTGTCAGTCAGTCTTATTCTCTGAACGAAACAGTCAGACTGCTGAAGGTAGAAGGGCTGGTATGGGGAGGATGGGGGAAAGGGTGTGTTTGTAGTGAAGGGGGTGCTAGATGGTGGATTTGGAGAAAGACACTCGCAGATGGTGGTTTTCCCCCAGGTCGTGGTTGTGGAGGTCGATAAGAGCCTGGATGGCTTCTTCCACCGAACCCAGCTGGATCAGCGCCATCTTGCGGTCCTTCCTATTAATCATATATGGATAATGAAAATCAGACACTGGGTGATCCTGAAATTTAGGACCAGTTGGTCCAATGAGATAAGGTCCAAGATCAAGAAAATGTCAAAATCTTTTGAACACATTTGTGTTGGTTTAGAATGGTTTTGAAAAACATTTACAGCATTTCCAACAAAATAGTTTCAATGACTGCTCTAGTTTTAATGACTACTCTAAAATTGTCATGTGGGGTAACCATCAACTAAAAAGGTATATCACAAAAAACACAACTTAGAGGGAAAGTTCACCCAAAAATGAAAATTCTGCCATCATTTACTCAAGTGAAGAATGTTGGTAACCAAACAGTTGCTGGTAGCCATTGACTTCCATAGTATTTTATCCATACTATGGAAATCAATGGCTACCGTCAAATGTTTGGTTACCAACATTCTTCAAAATATCTTCTTTAATGTTCAACAGAAAAAATAAACTCATAAAAGTTAGTAGTTATTAGTTAATGATGACAGAGTTCTAATTTTTGGGTGAACTATCCCTTTAAACAATGTAAAAAAGGAATGTCCTTTTCTGCTCCTAGAGGGCCACCTAGCTACACATGCTTCCCTAGCAAACTTAAAATCCCTGTTCACTTTTTAGAAGATCATATAGACAGTGTTTATAACATTCCATTTATGTGTTTTCACAAAACAACTCATCCTTATCGGCCATGTTGTCTTGAAGAAAGGTACAAGCAGACTCTTCCCCGTGTGAACAAATACTTCTTAAAATAAATGTAGGCTGAGAACAAAAACAAATGTGAAGAGAACTCACTGGAAAAACTTGAAGGCCTTGACTGTGTATCCAGAACTGGCAAACAGGTCTTTCAGAAAATCATCCGTAGTGGAGGGACTGCAAAACACAGTGTTTACAAAGGACAAAAAATAGCACCTTATCTGATGCCAACAATAATGCAAAACTTCTAGTGGAGTCAAACAACGCTAATATGATAATATGTGTGGGGCGATATGAATAAAAATCATATATCATGGTATAAGTCATTTTACAAAACTGTAATATTATGCATCACAATGATGTTTCTTTTTCTGGAAATTCAAACAACAAATGTTTTATATATTGCAATGCAGCCAATGTCTATTTTTCTGGTGACCCCCCTTAATTATGCTTAATTAAGTTAGTCCAGCAAAACTGGGTTGTTTTTTGTAGCAGTTGTTTGTAACATGCTGTATTGAGCGTGTGGTGCCCGATGTGTGGGTGTGTGCCAGTCACTCACGGGATATTTGAGAGGTGCAGGGTGGCAGAGGGAGGGAAGATGTTCTGGAAGTTCTTGGAGCCGGGCTTTTTGAAGCGGTGCAGCGGGCTCCCACTGAAGTCTTTGGTCAGGCCTTGGTCCTCCTGACCCTCCCTGGGGAGCTGCACCGTCTGGTGCTTTGAGATGGTCACACGGATCACCTTACCATACAGACGCTGACCGTTCAAATGGCTCATCGCTTCACAAACAAACCCAGAGATAATGTGTTACAGATAAGCTTTAACCCTGAGACACATCATATTACACTTACACTGAACAAACCTTTTTCTTACATTTGAACAACAAAAACTCATGCATAAGAGTTTTTTCCCCAACATTTTTCACACTCTCACAGATACATTTTGGCTTCATTCATAAAACACAAGCAGAGAGCGAAGTTCTGAGTAAAGAATCATTTTGTTATAAAATGTAAACAATTACTGTATCAAATTTTGAGGAATGCATTGTTAGGTAAATGTGTGTAAATCAATAGCAAAACCATGCCTACATAAATTCCTGTGTAAATCATATATGAAGCCATTCTTATGTCAATTTCTGTGAATAATTCACCAAACCGTTTTATGTAAATTTGTGTAAATCTTTTAGAAATTGATTTATACATAAATGTACTGTATAAAACATTGATACAACCATTCATAGGTTCGTTTCTTTGTAAATTAATAACAAAACTATTCTTAAACTAACAATGAATTGTACATTTTTTCACAAAACCATTCTTACCTTAATTTATGTTTAAATCAATAGCAAAACCATTTTTACATAAATTTCTGTGAAAATTGTGCATAAAATCATTCTTGTGCAAATTTCTTGTAATAGTTTTGTGAAACATTTTAAAGTAAATTTGTGTAAATTACTTGCAAATTGATTCAAACACAAATTACTGTATAAAACATTGATATAAAAACAAAGTTCATTTTTTGTAAATCAACAGCAAAGCTATTCTTACATAAATTTCCGTGTACTGTACATTTTTTTGCAAAATCAATATTACGTTAATTTACGTTAAAGTCGATGGCAAAACCATTCTTCAGTAAATTTCTGTGTATTGCGTTTGCAAAACCTTTATGTAAATCATTTGCAAAAATGATTCTCACATAAATTACTGTATAAAATGTTCTTATGTACATTTTTAAATCAATAAAACCATTTTGTAAATTTCTGTGCACTGCACATTGTTCGCAAAAATGTAAATCATTCTCAAAAACACAACATTTACACGCAAATAATGTGCAAAATCTAAGTGTAAATTATAAATGTAGAATTTGATATGAAAGTATACACAAGAATGTTTTCACAAGCAATTTACACAAATTCATTTTTTCATCCACTCCTAAACAATTCAGGCCGACAACCACCATGCACCTTTGCATTAAATAAATAATTAAATAAATCCATGTTTTTTTGTCTATAGCTACGAGACATCAAAACATCGTCATCATTATCAAGCATCGCGATCTGCAATCAATCAATACTTCAGAGCATTCGCTCCTGCATTTAAATATGGTTATCACATCCAAACCTTTGCCGTGTGTACAAGTACTTTAATTTCTCCTTGCATCATTTCATAATCTATTATTAAATTGCATCAGAATATTATATTATAATATCTCAATTATGAGACATTTAGTAGAAAAAAATGCAATCTTTATAAATATTTCATTCATGGTTCTGGCTACATCCACCAGCGATACAACCAGATTGATTTGTAGCTTTAACACAGACACAGAATACGCAGATAAAGACGCATGATCAAAGAATGAAGAGAATGTATCGAGATGAAAAGGATTTCAGTGTAATGCCTGGCGTACCGAGCTGGGCTTGCGTGGCGTCTGCCATCTGTATTAAGGCATTCTCTTTCTTGTTGAACAGAATCTTGACTCGGTGAACATCTCCATACACTCCTGCCGGGATAAAAGAGAAATTTAGACTGTCCGTGCTTAAACATGCCGTGAACACAATTTACAGCAAATAACACGCTATCTGCGGATCTCAGTGTTTCATTACTGAAGGCAGAGGGCGACAGCAACTCCTCACATGCTCAGACGAGCAAACATTTTAAAGGATATCACTCACACTAAGGTCTGTCTCTGATGTTGACAGTTATTAAATTGTAGGGACAATAACAATGGCTCACACTGAGCGTGTGTATGGGAGAATTTGAACATTCATATGACGGGTCACAATCTGCTAATAATCTCCCGACTGTGTGTTCATAAGGAAATGGTCTCATCGCTCAGCTTCTATCCTCTACTGCCTTGATAAAAACAGCCGTCTGCTCATCTAATCTGAAAGAGTAATAAATTTGTCCTTACCGAATAAAATGAAGAGCCCGTGTGGTGTTATGCTCTGCAAGAGATGGGACATTATCATAGAGATCATTCAGTACTGAAATGTAAAAAGAGCTGGAAAAAGATGAAATGAGTATGTGTAAAATGTATGAAGAAACATTAATAGATGTGGTGATTGATACTGATCACTTCAATGTGAGTGCTGGTCACTAACGCTGCAGAATTAAATGAAGAAAGTGTCTTGTGACATCAATTGCTGAGACTGAATAAAGATGCATGAAAATAGGTTTGGATTAGCTCATATGACGAGAAAAAAGACGGGAGGGAATCACTGTAAATGCACTGATATTTATGGTCAGTGAGTCTTTATACTCCTATCATAAAACTACAAATAACTGTTATACCATTATATATTTTATATAAATGATAAAATAGATATTCCACAAAAATGTGTGTTCAACATTGATAATATTAATAAATGTTTCTTGAGCAGCAAATCAGCAAGCAATATTACAATGTTTTCTGAAGTATCACGTGACACTGAAAACTGATGCTGAAAATTCAGCTTTGATCACAGGAATAAATGGCATTTGACAATTTATTTACATAGAAAACACTTATTTTAAATTGTAATAATATTTCACCATTTTTACTGTATTTCTGATTAAATAAATGCAGTCTTGGCGAGCAGAAGAGACATCCAAAAACTTAAAAACATATTATATTATATTATATATAATAATAATAACAATTATATATATATATGTGTGTGTGTGTGTGTGTGTGTGTGTGTGTATATAATTTCTGGATGACAGTATCTAGATATGTAGTCTAATTATCAGTATCATCCATAAAAAACAATATTGGTGTCAACATGTAAAATAATAATAATCATCATCTTCATCATAATGTTCATAATAATAATATTAATAATAATTATTATTATTATTTAGGCAAGTTATAATACTATTAATTAGGAATTAGGGTTATTATTACAATGAACTAAACCTTAAAAACATTCTTGTAACTAGAAATAAAATAAACAAACAAACAGAAAGGAAAAAATATATATATTTCAGAATATATATTTTCTTTTAGATTAACTTGATGTTCTAACATAACTAAAAATTTAAAATGAATAAAAACTACACAGACATAAATAATAGAAATGATAAAAACAACAAAATTTCTAAAACAGACAGACAGACAGACAGACAGACAGACAGACACACAGATAGATAGACAGACAGACAGACAGACAGACAGACAGACACACACACACACAGACAGATAGATAGACAGACAGACAGACAGACAGACACACAGACAGATAGACAGACAGACAGACAGACACACAGACACACAGATAGATAGATAGACAGACAGACAGACACACACACACACAGATAGATAGATAGACAGACAATAGATAGATGAATAGATAAGATAGATAGACAGCTGTAATCAATTTGATGTCATATAAATGAGAGATTTGTGGTGAAAGGGCTCACAGAGAAGGGTTAGTCGCTTGTGTTGACATCAGTTATGTCGTGGGACGGTGGTGTTGAGGATGGGGGGGAAACTCACGTCGGGGTTGAGGTTGGAGACGAGGAGCACAGAGTGGATGATGGTGGGGGCCATGCCGTGGATGGTCATCCGTCCTGTCATTGCTGATGAAGGGATGGTGAGATGTCCCAGAGCACCAGGCATCGTCTGCATAGACAGACCTGAGCGGAGCGCAGCCCGGCGGGAGGAGGGCAGATGGGGAGGGGAGACGGGAGAGGAGGGGTAATGTGAGAGAGAGGAAGGAAACCTTCTAGAACAATCGTCCGTTTTCACAACCTGTTGCCGCTCTTTCAGATAAACAACATAATGTCTTCTTGTAATAGCTTATTAAATCAATGTGTTCAGGCATGCTGGGTAAATTTAGTCCAAATGAGTATTGAATTGGATGGTCGGGGTAGTAAGAGGTTTAAATAAAGCCAGCAGAGATCAGGGTCAGAGTGTGAAAACAGAGCCAAGCTTGAGAGTGAAACAGCATTCACAACATGCTTCATATGTGAAGGACAAATTATTTGAATTGAGGGAAAAAATATTCAGTGGTAAATAATGTAGGATGGGAAGATCTGATATTAAAATACTGATATATTTGTAATGATATTAATGGTACTTTTATTTGACTGAGGCCTTGATTATGCCATAATGTTTGTGACAGAAGTGGAGAAAATTATTTAATTTGGAACAACTCGAGGGTGAATACACGTTTCATTTTCAATATGTTAAATAACACACTTCTGTTTGAATGTTTGGGGTCTGTATGATTTACAAAAGTTAATAATTTTATTTGGCAAGGATGCATTAAATTGACCAAAAATAAAGACATTTATAATGTTATAAAAGATTTCTATTTAAAAAAAATGTTGGTTTCCACAGAAATATTAAACAGCACAACTGTTTTCAACTTAATAATAATAATAAGAAGAAATGTTTCTTGAGCAGCAAATCAGCATATTAGAATGATTTCTGAAGGATCGTGTGACACTGAAGACTACAGTAATGATGCTGAAAATTCAGCTTTGCATCGCAGAAATAAATGACATATATTACAATAGAAAATAATTATTTTCAATCGTAACAATATTTCATAATATTAATGTTTTACTGTATTTTTGATCAAACAAATGCCACCTTGGTGAGGAAAAGGGATTTCTTTCAAAAACATTTTAAAATCTTACAGACCCCAAACTTTTTAACAACAGTGTATTTAACTCATATTAAAATGTTAAATGATAACATTTTAAAATAAATATTATGTGATTAATATTAAATGCTGTCTTTAAGAAAACATTAATTAAGACTTAAGTAAAGCTGCACAGTGACTTTAGCTATTACATTTTATTATATGAAAAATGTAATTAAAGAGCAATGTAACACACTTAAATTGGATGTATTGATCAAAACGGTGCGAACCAATCAATAGCCAATTCCGAATACAAAGCTTTCAAGCTGTTTTCAAATGTAACGTCAATACTTCTGTTTGTGTTAGTCCCTCTTCACTTTGTTCATTTTGCTGGTGTCAGTCTGCAGATGCGTCTTGCATGTGGCTCAGGTGACACTGTAATACCTCTGTTATTCAGTCTGAAGACTGTCGTGAGCTGCACGACGCTGCCTCCATTACTGAGATGAGATGTGAGAGTGTGACTGTGTCGGAAAGCTTACCTGCCTGATGGAAACCGATAGCAGGGGCGAAACCAGCCGCCCCAGGGTATGGAGAGGAAATTATCCCAGGAGCACCTGCGCACGCACACACACTCAACCACAGCCTTATAAGCTTTCCCAACCAGACTCGATGTCAGCCTAGCGGGCCTGGTGGGAAGCTTCGGGGCCTTCAGGGACGATGCGGAGGATGGGGAGAGATAGCTCGCAAGCGTCTGCTCCACCACTGGCATCGCCCCATATCCCTCATCATTCAGCCTCACGATGTTGGAATAATTTGAGATTGTGGGGCTGTAAATACGGGATGAGTACGGTTTCTCCCATGATCTTGACACCTCAGCATGGAGATCGGGGAAAAACAGAAGGCCCTGTCGTGAAGGCTGTGATCTGGATTTCAGAAAACGCTCGTCTAATTTACTTTTAGGACGAGCATCCTGTTTCTCGGCTGGCCAAGAGATATTTAATTTGGCTACAGCATGAGTCACAACCTCCACGAGCTCCTCATACGCTTCCGATCCCTGAGAGGGAGCCATGGATCTAGCGGGTGAGGACCGAGAAAAGGACGATCCCGTCTCGGATCCCTCTGCTAAATCCACCTGCGATCCCCACGACAACAGTCTGCGCTGTGCCTCGGCAACAGCTGGACCGCTTCCAGCGGGACCGTGAGCCTGTCCGCTCTCATCCAACTTAAATGAAAATTAGAAATGTTGCCCTATAACCAAAATAAGTTTAAGTTTAAAATATTTTATTTTATTTTATTTTCAATGAATGAAAATGAATGATTTTAATAATAATACTAATTATTATTTTTATTTATATAGCGCCTTTCCAAAACCCAAGGTCACTTTACAAGTCAGGTTTAAGAAACAGAAACAGATAAACATCAAAACCAGAAGACAGAGCACATAGCAAGAGCTGAGAGTAATACCTTCAAAGTTAGATTAGAGATACATGAGAATGTAGATAAACATCCATAACAGGGTACAAATTACAGACGGAGAGCTGAAGAGTAATAAAAGAGAAAAAAATAATTTTTAAGAGGTTTTTGAAGGAGAGAAGGGAGGATGCTTGACAGATGTTTTGGGGAAGAGCATTCCACAATCTGGGAGCCACAACACTGAAAGCTCTAGATCCCAAAGTCACCAGACGAAACTTAGGGGTGACTAACAATCCCTCACTAGAAGATCGTAACGAGCGGGCAAGAAGTCAGATAAATATGTAGGACCAAGGTTATGGAGAGCTTTATAAGTGAGAATTAGTATCTTGTAGTTTATGTGCAAAGAAACCGGAAGCCAATGAAGGTGATAGAGGATTGGGGTAATGTGATCGCTCTTTCTTGTGTGGGTAATCAAGTGTGCTGCAGAGTTTTTAGGTTGTGTGCTGTTAAGAAGGCCTGTAACTGGGAGGCAACAACTTTTTCTAATATCTTAGAGAGGAAAGATAAGTTCAAAATAGGCCTATAGCTACTTAGGGAAGAAGGCTCGAGACCATGCATTTTAGGAACTGGAGTGACAGCAGCAGTCTTAAGCTTTGATGGTACAGTTCCAGATGACATTGACATATTAATAAAATGAGTGATGGGTAGTGAAAAAGCAGGCAAGCAGTTCTTCAGTAAAGAGGTAGGTACAGGATCAAGAAGACTAGTAGAGGAATTAGACAGCCTGATTATCTCATCAACCTCTGTGGGGACAATAGAGTCAAAATTAGAGAAGCTATGAGCATGGCATAAAGAGAGAAGTTCAGTAGTGGGAACAGAGGTAGGGTGTTGACAGGTCTGACATGTTTTACTCTCTACATTAAAGCGTTTTAACATAAAACTGTCACTTCTGGCTAAAAATACTAGTCCACAATCCATAATAACTCTTTCAGTAAAAAAGCCCATCCTCTGTTGTCACCCACATCAAAATCCATCTGCATATTTGTTCAGAACTGTTTTGGACAATTTTCACTTATAAACAGTGCTTCATCTGGGCATATTTCTCTCCTGATTCAGATAAGACATATTTTCACTAGAGAAACCAGTATTGTGGATAAAGGACTCGTATTTTAGCCAGAAACAATAGCTTGAAGTAAAAAAAAATGTCTTAATGGTGGATTTTCACTTCACAAGACATTAATTGATGGACTGGAGTGGTGTGAATTACTTGTGGATTATCTTGATGTTTTTATCAGCTGTTTGGACTCTCATTCTGACGGCACCCATTCACTGCAGAGGATCTTTTGGTGAGCAAGTGATGGAATGCTACATTTCTCCAAATCTGATGAAGGACCAAACTCATCTACACCCTGAATAGCCTGAGGGGGAGTACATTTTCAGGAAATTTTCATTTTGGGTGAACTGTTCCTTTATGATGTTTTTAACCCAGAATAAACCTGAGATGATCTGGTGACAAATCTATAATCAAACTGGAAATTTTTCAAGTAAACTTGAACATGCAAAATGTTTTCATGCCAAAGATCCAAATTGACATTTAAGCAGCATCCTAAATCTGACATCCTTTAACTTTGGACAAGAACTTTCTCAGCGCTAAAGGAAAAGCACAGACTAAAGCAGGTTGTGGTGTGTGTGTGTGTGTGTGTGTGTGTCTGGGTACAAGTTGTCTCTTTTATCTAATACACTACCAGCTTCAACACACATCCTGAAACCACAAAACTTCCTTGGAGAAGATTCTCCAATTAGTGCAACATTTGATAAACAGACATTTGGTATTGAAAGTATTTTTTAATTATTTTAAATATTAAATTCAAATATCTTCACACCATATTTCATGTGTCAAAATATTTATCACATGTCCTGAATCTGATCATGTGGCCTTGAGCAAGTGAATTTTGGTATTATGTGGGATGCTGCCTTTAACACCTTTCTGTTTCACAAATGGTTCTTTGTGGTGAAAGAAGGTTCTTCAGATTATAAAAAGGAAAGAAAGAGATGGTTCTTTAAATAACCTTTGACTGAATGGTTCTTTGTGGAACCAAAAATGGTTCTTCTATGGCATCGCTTGAAGAACCTTTGGAAGCACCTTTATTTTTAATAGTGTAGCTGGTCACCCAACCTGACCAAGGTGGTTTTGAGCTGGTTTAGATGGTCAGCCAACTGATAAGTGGCCAGAATCCCAATAAAAACCAATAAACTTGACCAGTCTCCAGTGGAAACCAGCCTTTTATCCCGCTGAAACCAGTAAACAACCTCAGGCTGGTTTAAGATGCTGGTTTCCAACACTTTTGCGTTCCACACGACCGGGCTACATGAAACCTCTGAACGCAAGCATTTTGTGCCACTTTGACCTTGTTGAAAGGTAGTTTTACAAGATCACTAGGTGATAAAGCAGGAAGTGTACATGGTAAACAGTAGGGCTGTGCAATATTTAGAAATTATCGAAATATCGCAAATGTACATGTCGCAATATGCATATCGCTACAGCTTGCAATATTTGGGGCCATGAACAAAAGACAAAGAGAAAATCACTCACTGCTTTTACTTAAGTAACTTTTGTAGCTTAAATAAGAATCAGTGCATATTTAATTCAAAGAGTAAACACTACGCAGTTTTTTGATCTTCGCCTGTTTTCCTGGATTCCTCCCTTTAGCCTTGCCCCTGTGACTCTGTCTGCAGTTTATCGACCCACGCTAGCCCTAGGATTATTCTTGTGTCTTGCCCGCCATATTCCTGGTTGCCACTGTTTACCCTGCCTGTCTTATGACCATGTCTCTGTCTTCTCCAATTAAAGCTTTGCATTTGGATCCGCACGTCTCACGTCTCGTCAGCCCCGTTACATTATCGTATCGAATATCGCATTATTTAATGATATATCGCATTTTTCTTCAATATCGCACAGCCCTAGTAAACAGTGAAAACAGTGCAAGCAAACAAATAAGGTAACAAGTATTTGAGACTACAACGGAAATATCCTGCTTGATATATTGCGGAAAGCAAAAAAGGACTGGCTTTTTTTCTCTGCGTGTCATTATATTACTTGATATACCGATAAAGTGCAAAGGTAATTGAAAAAGCATGCTGATATTGTAATAAAAATATTCCCAAATACCAAAATGAAAGTTGGTATCACGTAAAAATTTAATCAAAGGCATTTGAATCAGAATTGAATCAGGCAATTTCCAGACCTATTTGAGATCAATGACAAGCGTTATATGAAAGAATCATAACATTTCTGTATAGTGTAGTTTTACCTGGTGTAGCACTTCTAGAGACACTGGGTAGTAGAGATTCTCTACGATTAAACGAAGCACAGGACTCTGTCCGGGCATCATTCCACCATCACTGGCTGTCGCAGTCCCAGAGAGAGTCATATTCCCAGAATGCATTGCACTGACAGCTTGCAGAGCAGCCTGAGCCCTCTACAAATGAGACATACAGGGTTAACATTCTCTAAACTCTTCTAAAACTTTACACTCATGCTGAGTACACGCAAATACACCTCAATCTTACTACTGCACTAGTGGGTATGCCAGATTCCCAAGGCACTAAAATGCACTATCAGCAAATTACTCTGTAATGAGCCATTTTACATACTGTAAAAACTAATAGCTCTGGGTAAAGCAAAAGAATAAAGGAGGCACTAAATATGCAGAGATACCATTTGCACCAGTTCATAAAAAGAAAACAAGCTAAATAATGTTAGGGTTATGTATAGGTTTAATGTTAGAGCCTGTCAGGAACATAGGGGGGGCATTTCCACCTATAAACAAAGTCAGAAAGTTTATTTTTCTTTGCCACTTTATGACAGAGCAAGGTTGTTTCAGGCTGTCGCAGCTAGATAGCTAGAAAAAACGTACCTTTAAAAGTACAATTCATTGCTCATGTACAGTACAATTGCATGTTTTGAAGGTGTAAGGAATCCTTTACTTTCCACTTATGAATAGTCAATATATCAAACACTATTGAAAACAGTGTATATATATATATATACTAACTATAGAAAAATCAATAATTTTGACCCACACAATGTATTGTTGGCTATTACTACAAATATACCCGTGCTACTTACGACAAATACCATGGTCCAGGGTCACATATATTTTATTTGTGAACTTATGTTCAGTTATTCTTTTTAATAGTTAACTTTTGAATATTTTTTTAATTTAACATCAGTCATCAAAGCTCTGTAAATAGCCTATTGGTTATAGACACAGAGGTTTACTTTAAATGTCTCCAAGCTGATAATTCACTTAAAACTTAAAACCCACAAATCATGTTTTTATGCAATTTTAAGTCTTATTTTGACATAACAAAGTAGTTATATCTAAGTGTTGTGTGAGTTGTTTACTTACTTTTTTTTAAATAGTCTTTCCATTAATGCTATTATATTGTTCATTCAGACTGATTTTTGTGGTAATAATTTGTGCGGTTTATTAGGAGTGAGTATTATTAATAGCTTTAATGAAGAGTGTTTGTCATTTCTTCGATCACAAATGCAGACATGGTTTTATGTTTACGCGGCACGATGCAATGCAATGCGTAAAAAGACAGTATAAGTCATTATAATCCATAATTATGTCCCCACTGGATGCAACGAATGCCTCGTTTATAATGGGTTTTTAATGTTTTTGAATCATCGCTCCGGCCTGACAGGGCCTCTTCACAATATGGTAAGGGGCGTAACATTTCCGTCACGCGCTTGAGGTATTCGGCCAATCACAACGCATTGGATAGCTGGCCAATCACAGCACACCTCGCTTTTTCAGACCGATGAGCTTTGTAAAAATCGACACGTTTCAGAAAGGCGGGGCATAGAGGAGAAACAATAATGTACAGTATGTGGAAAATAATGTGTTTTTTTAACCTTAAACCACATAAACACATTTCATTACACCAAATACACAAAATAATGTTCTTTTTAGCAGCATCATATGACCCCTTTAATTTTTTATGTCCAAGACAATGCCTGAAACAATGGTATTGTCACACCATTGTCCGCACAGAGGAAACCTACATTTAGGCCTACATTTCCTAAATCATGTTAGTTACACTGTGATGAACTACACAGAGTTTTAACAGTGGGAATATGTATGCTGGTTTTCTCTGATCTTATTCATGCCGTTTAATCCGGAAATTCCACTGCTAAACCCACATGAAAGCATATAAGGTGAGGTTTGAGAATCTCAAAAGGCAAATTTCAAACCCATCAGTGTTTCTTAAATGCCTGAGGTTCCAATAGTCATGCTGCAAAATGCTTACAGAGCTGAAAGAAAGGGCAGAGATGTGTTTGCAGGTTAATGGAGCACCTACTTGGTTTTTCCCTTTAAGCATCAACAGGTTGGTGACTTTGCCGAAAGGGACTCCTAGTGAGATGACCTCTGCCTCGGACACTTCGATGGGAACTCTGCGGATGTGGAGGACACGGGAGGGGTCACAAGGAGATCGTTCTCCTTTATACGTTTTATCATCAGTGCCATTAGCTGCCAAAAAGGAAAAAGAAAGAGACAGATTAGCATTTTTTAATTTGACCAGTTTTCCAAATGCCAAAACTGGCATTGATGTACATGGATATTACAAAAGCAAGACACCAAACACTATTATTATTGACTGACTGACACCAAAAAGGTCACGGTTACAAAATATTTTGCAATGTTTTGGCCTCACAAAGGACCCTCAATGAAGGTTAAGAAACACCAGACAAACAGACATGGGCAGAAACATAAAACAGACAATACGATAGTGGTGGGCAGCATCTCTGAAGCTTCCCCTCGAAACAATGCGACAAGCCTCTTACAGGATTAAGCAGGCCTCTGTAGCCTGTCAAGACTCCAAATGGCACCCATTGTGGGGCATTTGGCACTTGGCTATGTCCAGGGGCACATCACAGGCTGGTGACAGGTTTAACAGAGACAGACCGTGGCAGAGTGCCTGCCCCAGCTTTCATCACTTGCAGCTTTCTTTCAAGCTCTTGTGCTGCTTGTGCTCGTCTGATTGCCGATAACAGCATCAAAGCAATCGGTATCAGTCTCAGTGTCAGGTGCAAAATGAAAAGATGGTAGAATGTATTATACTTTTTTTTTTTTTTACCAAGACACATTACAACCTACAGTGGGCAGACTTGTGGTCATTTGGCCTAAATTCCCATTATTAGCCAAACAGCTAGTCCTGCCCCAAAAATCACACCAGACCAGACAATGACAGAAGTCTACATTCTAATGTTTTCCTTCAAATTGTCTCTGAACATTAAACTTGGTTAGGAGAAAGCATTTTAGCACTGGAAAGTTGCACACTTCACCCTGAAGTAATTGCAGAAGCGAAACAAAAGAAGTGCAGAAATTGCTGCATTGTTAGACTCTCCTATTATGTATTTGTCTGGTTATTGGTAGGTCATGCATGAGCAATGAACTTAAAGGCTCTATTACTGTAATACAGGGAAAACTTATTCAGATACATTCAAATATGGGTTAAATGTTCCTCAGTTTGTATGTGTGTATGTTAGGTAGAAATGGTACCAATTTCTCCATGATGAATGCAGTAGTCCACAAGGACAAGTGAAAGTGAGCTCTCTCTCTCATGCACTATTGCACTCTCTCTTTCCAAAGTTAAGCCTGTCGACGAGAGGAGGCACAGAGAAACAGCAGTGCACAAAAGAAAGTGCTGCCATCAGCAGGACATACAGACACATTTGAAAAAATGAACATGCTCAATACAGTGATCCAGACCCTCCCCTTACAGCCTAGTGATCTGGCTCCTCACAGCCCAGCACAGTGATCCAATCCCTCCCTTCCAGTCCAGAAATCTAGACCCTCCTCTCACAGCCCAGCACAGTGATCCAATCTCTCCCTTCCAGTCCAGAAATCTAGACCCTCCTCTCACAGCCCAGCACAGTGATCCAATCTCTCCCTTCCAGTCCAGAAATCTAGACCCTCCTCTCACAGCCCAGCACAGTGATCCAATCTCTCCCTTCCAGTCCAGAAATCTAGACCCTCCCCTCACAGCTCAGCACAGTGATCAAATCCCTCCCTCAATGCCCAGTGATCTAGACCCACCCCCCACAGCCCAACACAGTGATCTCATTCATCCCTCCTAGTCCAACAATCTAGACCCTCCTGTCACAGCCCAGCACAGTGATCCAATCCCTCCCTCCCAGTCCAGAGATCTAGACCTAACCCTCACAGCCCAACAGTGATCACATCTCACCCCTCACAACCAACCGATCTAGACCCTCCCCTCACAGCCAGTACAGTGATCCCATCCCTCCCTCCTAGTCCAGAGACCTAGACCCTCCTGTCACAGCCCAGCACAGTGATCTAGGCTCACCACTAACAGTGATCCATCCCTCTATCCTAGACCATAGATCTAGACCCTCCTGTCACAGCTCAGCACAGTGACTTATGGTGCTTTTCCACTGCATGGTATGGCACGGTACGGCTCGGTACGGTTCACTTTTTGGGGGGTTTTCCACTGGGTACAGTACCTGGTACCTGGTACTTTTTTTAGTACCACCTCGGTTGGGGTTCCAAGTGAACCGTACCGTTACCAAAACGTGACGTGTAAACTCTGCTGATCACGGATTGGCCAGAGAGAATAATCACTACCTGCATCAATGAACTTGCGACACAAACACAAAAGAACCGCTAGATTTAAATCAGCACAGCCAGCGAAGGATCGAACGCAACTGTTTTGAACGGGCGCACCTTTTTTTAACAACCAAAAAGTGGCTGTTCCCCCTGTTGAGGAAGTACAGACGTTCCTCTCGTTGATAGCAGAGGAGCGGATCCAGCTAGAGCTTGATGGGGCGACGCGGAATGAAAACGTTTTTTAGGAGTCGCGGCAATAGAACCGAGCCGTGCCGTACCGTACTGAGCCGTGCCGAGCCGAGTCATACCACGCAGTGGAAAAGCGCCAAGACTCACCACTAACAGTGATCCCATCCCTCCCTCCTAGTCCAGTGATCTAGACCCGCCCCTCACAGCCCAGCACAGTGATCTAGACTCACCGCTAACAGTGATCCCATCCCTCCCTCCTAGTCCAGAGATCTAGACCCTCCTGTCACAGCCCAGCACAGTGATCTAGATTCACCACTAACAGTGATCCCATCTCTCCCAGTTCAGTGATCTAGACCCTCCCCTCACAGCCCAGCACAGTGATCTAGACTCACCACTAACAGTGATCCCATCCCTCCTTCCTAGTCCAGAGCTCTAGGCCCTTCATTCACAGCCCAGCCCCGTAAGCTAGACTCTCCCCTCTTAGCCCAACACAGTAATCCCATGTCAGCTCTCACAGCCCAACACAGTGATCCCATCGCTCCCCTCACAGCCCAACACAGACCCATATCATATCTTATAACCAAGTCCCTTCTCTACCAGCCTGTACCTTCCCACCCCTCACACATCTTGAGGATTCATCTGCTCTCAATAGCCTTTTTCTTCTTTTCCCACCGCTACAGACTTGCACTAACAGACTACTTGTCATTTATAATGCAACATTGACACTAAAAGGAGAAGTATCCATGTGACTAGACAACCAATAAGAGTCAAATCATTGTAGTGTGTGCTTTTGAGCTGTTCAAATGAATCATTGCCAAGGGGATCTAGTGAAATTCACCTCAAAATGGAAATGGGATTTATAACAAGTAACAAACCTTATCAAAGCAACAGGCTCCAAACAACATGTTGTCCTATGGGAGTTATGATAATGAGTGACGGCCTTCTGGTGTCTGTCTGCAAGCTGGTGTCAGCAAATGTTTAAGGCATTCAAAACCATGATAAGTTTTGGATTCTTCCACAACATAATAAAAATGTACTTAAAAATATATAGCATTTTGATTAAAAAAATATGTTTGCTTGTATACCATGTTTACTCGTGTATATGCATACTTATTCCTGAACTGCCAGTTCTACAAGCAGATAAAATATAGTTAGTTCCAATTATGTCCTGCCTAGTCTGACGGCTACAAATACAAACCCTTATTTAATACTAATGAGGTCTGTCTTAGTCCAGACCCTGCATCTAGATTCAGTTGATAGAGATAGGGATAATGAAAAACAAGCGTGCATCTGCAAGACATCTAATGTTAACACACAGAACATGGGTCTGATTAAATAGGCATCAAAACAAAACCTCCACTGGAATAACGCAATGCAGGCTGAGGCAGTAGCCTACCACATGCAGAGAGCAAACAAACTGAGAAAAGAAACGATTGCATTCATGATATTTTCCCATACTGCAGAAAAGGACGCATGAACACAATGTGCTGAAAGAAAAAAAGCATTTTTTTTTTAGAATATAATAGCTATAAACTGCTGTTGAATAGCACTTAGTCTGCAGTTTTCTTCCCTGGAGGCTCATTAGGAACATAAAATGTGCAAGTTTGAATAAGCTCAATTATGAAATGTTAGCACATCCTAAAGACAATTATTTGCACAATCTTGGATACATTTTGCATTATTATACCTGAACCTTTACTGCATCTAGGGATTTGTTTATGATGCATGGATGAGACTCTTATGTGTCCTAGAGACAGGCATCTCGCCACATAGCAGCCACTAGGAGAACAGAAGGATGATTGGCCCACTTTTCCAATGACCCTGTGTTACCATGGTGACCATACACATGACCTATCAAGGCATCTGGCTTCACCAAGGCGATTCATCTCATTGTGCCGTTAACAAATCTTATTGTGTGTTTAATGTGATTAGAGGAACCATCCCTGGATTGAAAATGCCGCAGGGTTTTCAAGCGGAAATGAGTCAAAAAGGATCTTTGAAATTCATTGGCCATATGTGAACTCAATGCACAGGATGGATTGTGAAAAAAGACATACATTTCCTACATTAATTAAGCATGCCAAAATTTTGGTAACACTAATAGTTTAAGGACCAATTTTCTCTATTAACTAGTTGCTTATTAGCATGCATATTATATTACTAGCATATTGGTGTTTATAAAGCACATATTAATGCCTTATTCTGCATGACCAATTCCACACCTAAACTTAACAAATACCGTAACTAAATAATTTGAGGCAAATTTGTAGTTAATAGTTAATAGGGAGAATTGGTCCCCAAAGTAAAGTAGGCTATGACCAACATTTTAAATAAGTCTCATTTGCAAACTTTGCTAAATCAGTGTTTTTAAACAAGAATTGAAAATAACATTTAAAATTACATAAATAAAACTTATTGTAATTATCTATATTTGTATTATTTATTTGATTGACTGATTCATTGATTGAAAGAAATTAACACTTTTTAGATATTAGATATTAGATTGATTTCTGAAAATTTAAATATAAAACATTTATATTTTTATCCAAAGTGACTTACAAATGAGGACAATAGAAGCAATCAAAGCCAAGTCAAGTCAAAAGAATAGAAAAAGAATAGAGAATGCTATTGTTAGTGGGACATTTTTAATAATAAATAAAAAGAAAACAATTAGAAATAATAGAAAAAGAATAGAGTGCAAGTGTTAGAGG